CCCTAACTTTTAAAATTGAAGATTGGAATACCTACATATGCTGTTCACCCCAATGAACATTTTCAAAGAGTTTGAACGGGGTATAGCTTCATTCTGCGATAAACTGCTTATATTACTTTGTCATTCATACAATCACTATGAAAACACAAAAAAAAACAAAGTATAAGTAATAAGTAAATATTGGATATGTTCAAAGGTAAAATAAAATATTTCTAAGGAACCCTCGGTGGTCGAGTTCGACTCGCTCTGACCCGTTTTTTATCCTGGTTAGACAGGATAAAAAATGGGCAAGTGCAAGTCGGACCGAACCGACACAGAACCGAACTCCAGATGATTTGTAGTGCGATCATCTCGAGTTCGGTTCTGTGAAGTCACAGATGAGTCGGAGGCCATATACATTCCGTGCGAAAACACGCAGTTTTAAATAATCTATAACTCGGTCGTTTATTGACGGAATTTAATTTAATTTTGTTTTCTTATTTATTTTAGTTTTGACCTATATTTTTATTATACTATGTTAAATATAATAATATCAAGATCATGAAATTCATTATACCAAAGTATATTATGAATTAGATAAATACCTGACTCAAGTTTTTCCAATTAGTAACTCGGTGACTTATTACCAGAGAAATCATGCATAAAGAAACAAAAGCCGTTAAATCAACGTTTGCTTTTCATCCAGAAACAATCACTAGGTATACGTTATTCGTTTAACCCGGGAGTAACGAAATAAAGTTACAATTAGCGTATAAAGTTGATCTTCCCAAAAACAGGAGCTCGTATGGTTAATTGAAATTAAACAACGCCGCGAGATGGAGCCAGTAGGTACAAGTGCCTGCGTAATTTAGTTTGAGGCAGAGATGTATTGGGGTTTGTGAGTAGGATTTTTTAACGTCACCAAAATTCACAATATAAATATCGTTAACTAACATTATTCTCGTTAAGTTCAAAGGTTAATGGTAATAAACACATAACGGTAATTGTGAAAGATATTGACTTTAAATTTGAAAAGTAACTATCTATAATTGTAGCTTTTAATTATGGTCTGTATTTAAAATAACATAATACTGGCCTATATTCACAAGCAGTATTAAGAATTGTGCATCAAATGTATCAAATTATGCGTTTTGCTAGTAGGTTGTAGTTAAATTTCGTCACTTCATTATTGTGTAGTAATTTTTTACTACATATTTAATTGTATTGTAGTAAGGATGCGACTCATATAACAACGATCGATCTTCATTTCAAGAAGTTCTGTTTTATATTATTGATGTGGTTTTAGTTTTATTTTAGTAATCAGGATTATATTTTTCATGAATTTAGTAGCGTTATAAAAGTCGTTACTTTTCAGTTCCATAGTGTGTAAGCATTATATCCTTATCTTGTATGATTTTTTTAATTGAAGTAAGAGATAAATGGTAAATATCAATATTCAAGGTGTCAATCAAATTATATTAGTGTAGTGATTGACTCTCGTTAATTAATTCAGCGTATACGAAACGCCAGCTGTATTATTTTTACGTGCTCCTCGAGCACGTCACATCATTTCTAAATTCTAAAATCAGCAGATATGTTCCGAATTAAATCACGTAAGCAACTACACTTAGCGTGTACGTTTTTGTGAACCATCAGAAATTTGTATATTTATATGATAAACTTCATCTTTACCCGGTTACGGCGAAGCGAAAAGGAGAGTTATGGTAGTGGCCGGTATGTATGTATGTATGTAAAAATGTTCATTTGTTCCCTTATAACTTCGAAACTACTCATCGTAACAAGATAAAAGAGGTCATTAGAAGCATCTTACTTGTTCACGTGCTATAGTCTATTTGATGTTACATTAAATTGGCATTCTAGAGAACATAGAGTAAGAAACTAAAAAAAATATTATTCAATCATTCCGTGCAGGGTATCAAATAAAAGGGCCTAATGAACACATTTCAAATACACACTTACACACTCATATATATATATTAATTAGCCTTTGCCTGCAATTTTGCTAAATTATAACCGAAAATTAATTAAACAAAAAAAAAAGATCCTAAACTAAAACCCGACTACAGCTAAATCGCGCTTTAAAAATTTTGAAACAAGAAATGACCATAGCAAAATAATCTGTCATGGCATGCGACTAGTTGTCCTTTGGTCAACGCTGTCATTATATAGCTATCGCTTTAAAATAAATTTCTATCAAACTTTTTAGAGCGTGATTTTTGTGTAATCGAATAAATACGGCGCTAGATACATATATAGTTGGTTATCATCAGCGCATGTAACATCTAAATGCAGTTTTAAATTCCTAACGACCATGTAATTGAATGGTTTACTTTGTATTTCCGGGAAAGGAGGTTAATTACATTTTTATATCCACTATAAATAGTTTAATATTTTATACATTAATTCTGAGTACGCCAAGCAAGACTTTTTTTAACGATCACGAATAAATTATCTTCTTCTTTTGACCGTATTTTATTATTATTTCAAAAATCCAACTTAAATTATTTTGTGACTGAAAGTTACCTGCATTAGATGATCTTTACCAATCTTATCATTAAAATATGATGATAAGATTAGTAAATATCCCCTTACTCCGGTCCTGGACAATATCCCGAATTTATCCGGTATAGGATCGTCCGTGCGTCTGTGATGAGAGCCCTCTAGCTTAAAATCCAAAGTTGATGGACTGGCTCATTATACCGAAATAAATTTAACATTTAGGTCAATGAGCATTATAATTACTTTCATCAAATGATTTGTTAATTTAAAATTGTTTATTTTGTCGAGAAATATAACTATTAAACTGAAGGATAGGAAAAAGACAACAAATGTATAAAATTATATAATTTTATGTCAAAAAGTAGGAAATAGGCCTTTATTCCTTTTAACTTTCACATTTTAATATAGGATCTTGCACAAGTTTTTAGTGAGACAGACTGAGTGCAGTTAATCTTGTTGGTGCATCTGTCCCGAGGGCTCGTGCTATTAAAAGTTTCGGTATAAATCCGCCAGACGACGCTGCAGTGCACGTCCGGTGTTGGGATGAACAGAAAAAAGAAATGCTAGACACCTATAAACATACTTTTAAACATCTCGTACGTTTTTGCTGTTTTTTAACAATTTTTTTGCTATAATTTTATTTGACGGTCATTATTAATTCCAACATTTTATCATAAATTAATATTATAATCAAGCATTATCTGTTAAGAGAAATTCCAGTAATTTCCTCTAACAATAACAAAGGCTTTTACGGCTGATTATCAGATATTCTTAATATAAAATATATAAAAGCTTTGCATTTTTATCAACTAAATATCTGAGTTTTTTCAGTAACTAGTTTTGTTCTTCTTCTATGATTAAATACGAGTACAAACAATATAGAGCTTTGATGTGCCTTCTACCACATACTTGCTATTAAATGAAAAAAAAAACACGTGTTAAAATATTTTATATGAAAACGTTTACACTATATTATTGCAAAATAATGTAGAAATTCTGGTTTTGTTAAGGAATTAATGATAGTCTCTAATAAATAAGAGTGGATCAAATTAATAATAGTTAAATTTCTGATTTGTGCTCTCCCCAATTTTAAACTATAATTGGGACATTATCTGCTCGCGTCTTGAATGAAAGGGTTTTCTTTGTTCTATGTAAGAACAAAGAAAATGTTTAAAAGTTTCTAATATGTGATTGCTTAAAATCTTGATTAGATAGGCGTAGTCAATAATTTATTATTAATTTTCTACCCTTTTAATTAATCATTCGTGCAATTAAAGATTTGTGAAAAAGTCGCTTATGACTGCTAGATTGAGTTCTATTCGACTATTCTCCTGCAGCTGACAGCTCTGTCTTCCCAATTATAAAAGTATCATCTATTTCTATCTATCTTATGCAGAGAAAAGATTTCACCTACACCATATGCGCGGGCGTACAATTTACGTGGGCGTAGTTGCGAGAAAACAGTTAGTTTACAAAAAAGTTACTAATACAAATAAAATACCTTCCCAATAATGCGGTATACCTTTAGTGATTACCAAGTACTAACGGCTATTTAAACCTTCCAGTTTGGTTTAAACTAACTGTGATTCCCCGTAGAGATTGTTTAGTTTCTCAGTTTTACTTCCAAACTCAAACGAGAACATGGTTACTACTGACGGGAATCACATTTTATTATAATGTTTGAGTACTATTTCTACAAGAGATTAATTACTTTAAGTTCCATTAAAATATTTTTGCTATATTTTTGGGATTGTTACCTTATCGTTACTTTTACAACTTGGTCATTGACAATGTAAACGTTACAAGATTTAATAATAATCCCTTAGACTAAAGAATAGAATGTCATGAATATGTAAGTATTAAATTATTATTATTATTTATATAAAATAAAAAAAACTGTTTTTATCAACGTCGCAGGTTCGATTTCCCGACCCGTCCGGGAATCGAACCTGCGGAAGGAAATTATCTTTTCTAAATTGCCTTGGTTCCGAACAACAAATGAGATGTTTTATAACATTTATTTACAGATGTACTTAAATGTAGAACGTTTACCGATTGGTTCTTATACGCAGGCACCGTCCAATCATTCCGGTTTATATTATATGTAATCGTACAACAATGATGTTGGTGTATAATATAATAAGGTAATTAAAATAAAAGCAATAGAATAAAGACTTCTATGATAAGCTGTTAAGAATTCAAATTGCGACCCACATTTAATCGGGCAACATTTTAATATTGGCTGCTATGCGCACTTGTAGAAAATAGTTAGTTTTGTCGGGAGCAAGGAAAAAATATCGTTAAACGAAAATAAATTGAATTCACATAAATTATATGTCAAAAACGTATTTTTACAAACTCCACGATGTGACGTGTCAACCAATATGGTAAAGTAAAGTAGGTAAAGTAAGTAAGGTGGTCTTTAGTAAGCAGTTTTTCACTACTCCACATTTTGTCTTGTAGTATACGTTAAGATTTTATAATAGAATGAATATACTTACAGTTCTGATGTCGCTCTCTGCACCGTTCGCTAAATACTGTGTTTGTTTGAGGTTTGGCGCTAGGAGTTGTCTGCAAAGAAAAAAAATACAATTAGAAATCTTAGGCTGGTCATCTTACGTTTTTATAAAGCTTTGTTTATGATTGAATATTATCATTGACGTTTTTAGTTTGTTTGGTCTATCAAAATCTTGTGAGTCTTTACGTCGTCATCTCATTTGTTGTATAATTTAAATATTAATTTGTGTTATCTTTGTATTATTATTTTTATCTTTGTACTCTCCAAATATATCAAATTATTTTAATACAGTCCATATTTCATTAGCTCATCCGTAGGTATTATTTTTAAACCACAGAAATTAATTAAATGAAACAACTTTAAACGGTTTCCGCGCATTTAAAGTTGTTTCATTTAATTAATAGTGAGCGTGAAAATATCAGAAATCAATAAATAGATTTAAAACTTCAACAGAACATATTCATATTTTTGAAGAAGGAGCTAAAACAACTATGGTAAGGCCCAGTCATCGGATGGATGACTAAGAATTTGTTAAACTGAGCTCCTGCGCGCTTTGGAAAGTATCTAATCGTAACTTTCGTCTGCATTTGCAGTTATCACCCACTAAACTAAGTTGGGGCTGTTATTACCTATTATCCTTATTTGATTACATTGATAAGCAAGACCTGTACCCTTGCAACCGATTCAAATTTATTTAGTCTATGCTATGTTACAAGCACTCGTGGATTTCGAAAGCTATGCCATCGGTTCGCAAATCTACGGCGAGAGGTCTTGTACTAAAAATAACCGGCAAGTAAGTCAGCAAGGGCCGCTTTCTTCTCCTCCTTTTATTTCATACAGCATACTCGTAGTGGTCGTACAGCGTGGTGTGTGTGTCCTAATAATTTTTGAATGTCAAAATGTTCATCACGTACTCAAAAAGTCGATAAAATAATTATGTTAAAATAGTATTCTCAATCCATTAGCCTCATGGAGTCCCGAAGATACTGCGCAAACTTCCGCTTGTTTGTTTGCCGAGAAACAATGGTATCCCGGTTATTTAAATATTATCAAAGGAAAATGTGCCGAGTTTTAATGAACATCGATCATTATTTTCACAATTTAATTTATGCTTACACGCACACAATCAGCGTTTAATTAAAACAATCCGAGTGAAGCCGAACATGTTGTTTGTTTTACCGAAAAACGGATATCTCTCTGTCAATAGAATATAATTTCGGTTGTACACTTTTATCTCTTACTGCGTTGAATACGAAAACGGCAACGCTTTTGTGTTCAGTTGTACACGATCCTATTGTTAAAAAATGTATTTCGAATTACACATATCTAAAAAAATATTATTATAATAAAAACGTAATTGATCAATGTCTGCACATTGAATATATATAAAAAAACTATAATAAGGGGTTTTTATAAACGATATAGAAAACAATCCATTTTTTTTTATCTGTTTGTTTCAGAAACGGCTGAACTGATGTAAATGCAGTTTTCACTATTGTTTTGTGGTAATTTTCCATTAACATTTAGTTAAGATTTATTTCAATCGGTTCACAAACAATATAGGTACATATATCAAATTAAAGTACACCAAAATTGCTATGAAATATTAACTGCTTTATAAAATTTTCGTCTTTGATGTAATAATTATCGTCATCGGCTCTTTTACAGATAAACTGCAGGGGCTTACGCCTTTATTCAATAATTTTTGGTCACCCATTCTGTCACCAACTCTTACGAAAATTGTTTAACAGCAACGATTGCGGGCAGCGTCGCTTATTTGTGTATATTATGTGGCGCCACCGAACTACGAATTGATATAGTCTGTAAAATGGTAACTTTAATTTTTAAAAAAATTTGTTACTCCAATATAAGTTCTTCAATTCCATATATATCTTAACATATAAATTTTATACATTATATAAGTTCAATATTATTATATAACTTTATATATAAATAACATACAGTTTGTTTATTACACTTTTTTTTGTAATTATGTTTTATCGACGATCCTAAAAAAATTAGAGCACGGATAACCATTTCTCCTTTGTTGATTTAAAGCACAATGCTAGGTTGTCTGGGAATCGCCAACCAGAAATAAAACCATCTCTTGAATGATGCAATAAAATATGTATATTCGTATTACAGACTTAGAAATAAACATTCTTTGCTTATTACATTGAACAGTGGTACCCAAAGTTGTTTAAGCTCCGATCCATCTAGTAAGACTTTATAGTCTTTATATCGATTTCTTATATTTTCACGCACACTATCCATAAATGAAATATATGTATAACCTTTGTTACGATTGTTATTAAAAATTTCGTTTACAGTGGTTAAAATCCATGAGTATACCCAATGATCACTCGCAACCCACTGGTGGGTCCCGACCTATAGTTTGGAAAATAAAGATACAGACAAAAACGATGTAATTCACCCTCCGTATTTAACAGGCTAATATTCGATTTGATGAAAGCTTAATATATATTAATTCACAGCTGAAAAAAGCAATTTTGAAGGGAATCCCTGTTAGGACCGATATAAACTTCCACCATGTTTCTGAGTCTGACAGACCAATTATATCCGCTCACCAACTTTATTATGCAAAATCTCATTTTGCCGCTCTCGACAAATAAATTTATATTAAACTCGTATTAATTTCTTTAATAATAAATATATACTGATCAAAGATTCAAATGACATAGCTATGATATGATTTGTTTATTAACTAATAATATGAATCTAATAATATGTTAACTAATAATATGTCTGGTTGACTGGTAGAGAATGCCCTTGGCATTAAGTCCGCCTTTTGCTGTTCGTGCAATAAAGTTTTAAATAAATAAATAAATGTAAAAAAAAAATAGATTATTAATTAAATGATGTAATTAAAACAAATTAATCGATTGAATTTTCGCGGTTTACGCGTAAGAATTGATGTCAGTTAATTTTTTCGCTTGATGTTCACGCACCAACATGAAGATCCATAATGACCACGGCCACAGGAGACAAAATTTGTCGGTTAGAAAAAGTAACCACAAAGGAAATCCTTTGTTATGTACAAAATAAAACAGAACAAAAATAGCTCTTGTCAAGTACGTGTTATTTACTCTAAGTACAAGGATCTTGCGACTTAGAAAACCTTTGCCCGTGATATAAATTTTAGTCTGTTAATGCTTATATTTGATCTATTACATATGAGGAGCTCGATGACACACCTGGATGAAATTTACTATCTTGAGTTCCTCCATCATTCGGAAGGTACATTAAACATTGGCTCATGCTGCATTTGCAGTCGTTAATACCCCCTAATCAGCACTACTCCAGCTTGGTGGGTTGTGACCTATCCTCCTTAATCATCCATAAGGAAAGGCTGGACCCTAGCAATATAATTAATAGGCTGGTAATGATGGTGAATGATATATTTGATAAATTTAACATTCACAATTGAAATTCTACCTCGCATATGCTCGAGGTTACAAATGGAGGAGACCCTAGAATAAGGTCCTCATTTATAATAGATTTAAATTAATTCCAAATCTATAGTAAATATAAATAATATCTGATTATTATAATATCTAATAATAAATAAATGAGAGTAAATAGTTAGAATGTGACATGTTTCTTATAATTATTAAATGTTTATCCTTTAAATCTTATGTATTATTATTATTATTGTTACTATTTGCATGAATGTTTTTATTATAATGCAAGCGTGAATGAAATGAATGAGAAATTAATAAAGGCTTTTTTATTTTATTTCTTTATTTTTTATGATGATGAATGAAATATTTGATCAATTGCTCGAGAATTAATGTTAAGGAAAAAACAAGGAACACGTTATTAAATTTCTTATTTTATAAACTCGTCATGCCGACGAGGAAAATATTGTCCATCATAACACAATATTGTCAACTGCGTTTACAATTGTTCGTTTCCTAAACAAAAAGAAATACCATAGCAGCCGTGTAGTCGAAATTAGAGATGTTACGGATATGAAATTTCGGAACCGGATACCGATACAGATATAAGAGTAATATTATACCGATTTCGGGGATGATCACTAGTTATCCGTTAGTTTCGATTGTGGACACAGATTTTTAACTATTTTCAAAAGTAAAATTCAAATAGGTGACAATTTTGTTTTATTTCTAGATTTTCATTTTCACTTATTAAATTTTTGATATAATATATACAAGTACTTTCGTCTTCAATCATCCTTAGTTACAACTGAGTTACATGAATATTAAACAAATAGAGATAAAATTCGAATTATATTTTATTTAGGCACACAAGTAGCTAAACTTTAATTTTATGTTTAAAAGAAATGTTTCGGATATCCTTTAGTTTCATTTACGGATACGGAACTCCTTAACGTCCCAGGCCAATGCGATACCGAAAACGGGTGTATCCAGTGAGATTACCTCGAAAATCGGTAATAAACGTTCGAAAATTGCCGCCCGGAAACAGTAAACTTTCGTTATGAACCAACAAATTATAAGAAAAATGTTGCCTTAGAATAATAATGAAAAGAGAAAGTTCCAGATCACAGAAAGCAATTTCGATCGGACCCCGTTTTTTTTAACTTGTTTGTGTTTTTGTGAATTTCTAAGTAGTATTTGCGCGCGGGAAGTTCTTTTAACGGAAAACGTAAATATTTATCTTAGAGAATAAACCTGCATATTTTTGCATATACATAATTTTTTTTGGAAAACAATAAAATAGGGGATGACTTGAAATAGTATCGAACTCAATCTTGTATCCGTTTTTCTTCCAGCTAAAATGGATTGTAGGAAAAAATATACTATTTCAACTCATTCTTAAAAGTTGTATTAAGGCTGGGCGTCAAGAAAAAAAAGACAAGAAAGAAAGCGCGCTTGATAATGAAATAAATAGGGACAGAGATGTGAGGATCAATTTTCCCCACAGTGTACATAGTAAAGTTAATGAGTGAGTTTCTTTCTGTATATAGTATATTTACATAAATATATTACTTATAAGTATTGGGTTGGCACAAAAGTAATGAGACACACTAGAAAAATCTATAACATTTCCT